TGTGAGCACCCCAGTGTGAGCACCCCACTGTGAGCACCCCAACATGAGCACCCCAATGTGAGCACCCCAACATGAGCACCGCAACGTGAGCACCCCAATGTGAGCACCCCAGTGTGAGCACCTCAGCGTGAGCACCCCAACGTGAGCACCCCAACAAGGTGAGTGTCTCCAATGTGAGCACCCCAACGTGAGCACCGCAACGTGAGCACCCCAACGTGAGCACCCCAACAAGGTGAGTGTCTCCAATGTGAGCACCGCAGCATGGTCCCCCCAGCGTGGTCACCCCAACATGAGCACCCCAACACGAGCACCCTGTCAGCATCTCAGCATGAGCTCCCCAACAAGGTGAGCACCTCCAACATGAGCACCCCAACATAAGCACCCAGTGTGAGCACCCCAGTGTGAGCTGCCCAACATGTGCACCCCAACATGAACACTCTGTTAGCACCCCAACATGAGCATCCCAGCACGAGCCCTCTATTAGGATCCCATGAGCACCCCAAGATGTGCACCCCAATATAAGCATCCCAGCATGAGCATCCCAAAGCGAACACCCCAATGTGAGCACCCCAACATGAGCACCCTGTCAGCACCCCAGCATGAGCACCCCCAACAAGGTGAGCACCTCCAACATGAGCACCCCAACATGAGCACCCCAGCGTGAGCACCGCAAAGTGAGCACCCCAATGTGAGCGCCTCAACATGATCACCCCAGCACAAGCACCCCAACTTGAACATCCCAACCTGAGCACCCTGACATGAGCACCCCAGCACGAGCCCCCACCAGGAGCAGCCCAACGTGAGCACCCCAATGTGAGCACCCCAGCATGAGCACCCCAACATGAGCACCCCAGCGTGAGCACCGCAAAGTGAGCACCCCAATGTGAGCGCCTCAACATGATCACCCCAGCACAAGCACCCCAACTTGAACATCCCAACCTGAGCACCCTGACATGAGCACCCCAGCACGAGCATCCCAAAAGCAAACACCCCAACCTGAGCACCTCAACGCAAGCACCCCGACTTGAACATCCCAACCTGAGCACCCCGACATGAGCACCCCAGCACGAGCACCCCAAAAGCAAACACCCCAACCTGAGCACCCCAACGCAAGCACCCCAACTTGAACATCCCAACCTGAGCACCCTGACATGAGCACCCCAGCACGAGCATCCCAAAAGCAAACACCCCAACCTGAGCACCTCAACGGGAGGACCGCCGCGTGGGGATCGCAACCTGAG